AACTCTACCTAAAAATAAAATGAAACAGTGATGGTATGTGAGCATTGTACCTATTTATCGACTCGCATTTTTGCATGCTTTCGAACGGCTAGGTTGGCAGGAGCTGGGACAAGTGATGGGAGTTCACTCCATCGAGTGGATTTGATCTTACGACGGCTGGTCTTCTGACCTTGCAGCACAGAGGCTTCTGCAGTTTAATTTTCAGCGTCACCACATCCCTAGCAGCTTAAGGGCAACCAAAACCATTTTCATCTTCTCTCTCATAGTATACTGTGGCTGATGTCCCCCCACCATCTCTCCCCCTGCCCTGAATATGATTCCCCCCATTGTTCTCCCTTCCATAAAAAACATTCACAATCAGGCAAGGACCCGTTAGCAAAGTCTCCCCAACGTCGGAAGTGACTGGCAAAAGAATTCCACACAATATTTTGGGAACTAAGTGAGGTAGCAAAAACAAGCGCGCTTATCGAATGCTGTGCCCCTTCCTTTCCCATCTCTGGTTCCTTCAAAAGACCCAAGAGGTTGGTAGCAAACTTACAGTATCTTATGCTTGTCGAAAAAGGGAGACACGTCTCCAGCTGACTTGAGGGAGGTGCGTCCATCATTAAAATACAAAGCATAGTTTCTCTTATGGGGCCAAAATAGTGTGTTCCATGTACCCATCAAGTCTCAGTTTTTAAGCGAGACAGGCAGCTGAACTGATAGTGGCCTTTCCACCCACCTATCATCCTCAATAAGAGTGAGTTGATGTAATAATGAGAGTAATGGTAGCATTGGGAGTTTAACTATAGTAGCATGAGCGAGTATTCTGAACAGGCGTATTGCACAGCTGCATCCCTTCCTTGACAGCAGGTTCCTAACCACGCTGGTCCACACCTTGGTAGACTACTGTAATCTGCTCTGTATGGGGCTGCCCTTGAGACTGGTCTGGAAACTTCACAAGGTTCAGAAAATGACTAGAGAGGTGAACTAATAAATACCAACTTATCTCCCCAGTACTGGCTGCCTTGCACTGGTTATTTGATCATTTCCATATTAAATTCATGGTGCTGGTTTTGATCTACAGAACCCCAAATGGTTTGGGACCTCAGTACATGACAGAATACCTCCTTACCGTCCATCCTAGCCTTGTGTCTCAGGATGGGTAGCTGATGATGATGAGGGAGGCCTGGAAGGAGGAAACAAGAAACTGGGCCTTCTCGGTGGTCACCCCTATAATTTGGAATGAACTGCCACCCGAGTGCCCTTGAGACTGGTCTGGAAACTTCACAAGGTTCAGAAAATGACTAGAGAGGTGAACTAATAAATACCAACTTATCTCCCCAGTACTGGCTGCCTTGCACTGGTTATTTGATCATTTCCATATTAAGTTCATCGTGCTGGTTTTGATCTACAGAACCGCAAATGGCTTGGGACCTCAGAAACTGGGCCTTCTCGGTGGTCACCCCTATAATTTGGAATGAACTGCCACCCGAGATTCACCAGGCTCTTTCTTTGAAGACCTTCAAAGAAATTTCTAAACGCTCTTTTCATTTCGGCAAGCTTTTAAAATCATGCCATTCCTAACAGCGCGGCTGGAGTGTATGCTTAACATCTACAGCTACATGTCCAATTTGAAATGTAATTTTTTGTTGAATTGTACGTGTATAGGTGCACACTGCCTAGAGAGACCATCGATCAGAGGGGAGGTTTAGAAGTCCAAATAAATAGGGATCATTTCCAAACTTTACAATCCTCATCTCCGTCTCTACCCAGAGATCCTCCACGGATCTAAGACATGGACCCACATGATCTGAATCATGATCAACGTGATGTTTATGCTGGATATGCCCCTAAATAACTGAAAATATCATGTCAAATCATACAGGTCCATGTCTCAGATCCATGGAGAATCTCTGTGGGAAGACATGGGACCTAGGATTGGATTAGGTGGATCTGTGTCTGAGATCCATGGGGAACATGGATCCATGGAGATCCCTGCCTCTGTCTGGTATTGTTGTACCACAGCCAAGCCATGCATTGATGGATAATGCTTTCAGAGGTATAGTCTGTGGCCACTAGAGGTCCTTATGAGTGGACAACAGTTTAGGGGGGATCTCATAGACAAATCATGAGGATCCATGGAGTGGGTCCATGTTTTTGCTCCACTGCAAAACCATGAGCTAAAAGACCTGTGATTTCTGTGTTATTTTCTGTGGGCAGTGATGGTCCCTATGACTGGACCATGGTTTGGGGATGAGCTGACAGGTTTGACATAAACCTGGAAGAATCATTAATACAGTTTTGTGCTAAGCAATTGTAAAAGAGCAAAAACACTGTAAGTAATTGTAAGGATCCACGCTAAGAATTGTAAGCCAAGTAAGAATTTATGCAGCTGAGGTAACACTTGACTTGTATCAGCTGAGAAAGAAAACCTAGGATTGGATAACCCTGGGATAAAGCAAGCAGACCTAGCACACATACTCTGTGGTGTTGTGGTCATCATTCTTGGAGAAGGATTCTGACTGCTGGACTAAATTATATGGACTCTGATCTGATTTATTGGGAAACTCTACTTGTTAGTGTCACCTGGTATACTGCAATTCTGTCATGAGCCTATGTAAAACTCCTCTATGAACTCAAGATGGTTTAGAAATCATATTGGTCTCAGTGCCATCCTAAAAAAGCAGCTGTAAAGAGCCCAAAGGAATTTGTCACACACTCCCAACCAGTGCCATGAGAATCCAAGGGTTATTTTGTCTTGTCCCCTCCTCTCGCTTTCCCTCTCTTTCCCCCTTTTCCCCCCTTTGTACATGTTTCGCATGATTCAACACTGCCAGAAGCCAGAGGTGACTTCAGGAACACAACAACCGCAGTTCCACCAAGGCCATTGGTGACATAAATGGGTTCTTCCCATATAGCTCTGCAATCCTTTCCTTTATATTTTGCAGTTAGCGTGCTTTTGAGTTTTGCATGGGATAACACTGGGCTTTTAACCAGGATAAATGAGTTCCTCTTAAAGGATGTACCATTTAAAGGAAAAATAAAGCTTACTCAGATTGACCACATGGGTCAAAATCTCCTTCATGACTTCCGTGTGCAGAGCCCTTTGGCCGGGATCCAGCAGAGCCCACTCTTCCTCCGAGAAATTCACAACCAGCTCCTCCAGAGCTTCTGCAACCTGACAGGAAAAAAAGAAAGGTTTATTCTCACAGAGATCACAAAGGCTCTATGTTGTAAATGTGTCATCCAGAAAAGAAGGACATTGACTAGGAAGCTAAGTACAGGATTCAGCAACCCATTTGCGAAGTACGGTCCAGGAAAGGACATGGACTACATATCTTGGTGTAAGTAAGATCAATTCTTCACTTCTCATCGTCTCATAGGCTTCCTAGACAAAAGCTTAAATACAAGCAAGTGGAAAGAAGAAGATTCCTTTTGTTTAGTCGTTTAGTCATGTCTGACTCTTCATGACCCCATGGACCGGAGCACACCAGGCCCTCCTGGTGTTCTCTTCCACTGCCTCCCCCTAGTTTGGTCAAATTCATTTTGGTAGCTTCAATGACACTGTCCAACCCTCTCGTCCTCTGTCGTCCCCTTCTCCTCTCGCCCTCACACTTTCCCATCATCGGGGGCTTTTCCAGGGAGTTCTTTCTTCTCATGAGATGGCCAAAGGATTGGAGCCTCAGCTTCAGGATCTGTCCTTCCAGTGAGCACTCCTTAGGGACCAAGAAAATGGAGGAGGAGGAGAAGCACCCACCCCAGGCTTCTCCACTCTCTGTTCCTTCTCCCTTACCTGCTCTGGCTTCATGGACCTCGTCTCCATTTTTCCAAGCAGAAGAGAGGAAGGACGATGTTTCCCCAGATGATTTCCAGGGTCTGTAAGGAGATCAAGAGGGGGTGGTGCGATGTTTCCCCAGATGATTTCCAGGGTCTATAAGGAGGTCAAGAGGGGGTGGGTGGGGAAAGTTTATTTTTCACGTCCTTTTTCTCCTTTTCTCATCAGGGTGTGGGGAAATAGTTTATCTTCCTGTATTGATCTCCAGGGATGCAGATGTATTCCTCTTCGAACTGTAGTAAGCACAGGAGCGGGACAGCCGGAATAGCGTCCCACTCACACGCCTCTCTCCTCCCTCTGCAAAAAATATTCTATATGACTCTCTAGGAATAACTCGCTCAACTTCGTGGGGTGACCCTCTAGGAATGAAGCTGCCTCTTGATTATTCCCTTCCTTCCTGGGAGGACACTCTAGGAACGAAGGTGCCGCTCTTCAATCATTCCTGGGAGGACTCTCTAGGAATCAAAGATATAGAAAAAGGCGGATTGCTATTTTCCATTTAGGGAAAGGGGATTTATATTTATATTTTCTCAAAAGCCTCCCTGCGCTGAAAATTTCTTCCACAGATCGCTATTTTAAAACCGAGTCCCTGAGGAAGAAGGGAAGGGACGTGGCTTGATTCCTAGAGTGTCTCTCCTGTTTCAAAGTGCACCTTCTTTTCCCTTCCTGCCGAAGCCTGTTCCGTTCTCTTGAGTTCCGGGTGCCTCTTCTCTCTCTTTTTCTCTCTCTCTCTCACACACACACACAAACCATTCACAGGGAATATTAAAGCTAAGAACCCTAAGTAGACAATGAAAGCCTTATCTTTTAACGATGTTCATCACTGTTGTATACTCATTCTTTTCAACTTTAAATATCGTCCTTCCACGTAGGAAGCCACCTGGAGTCCTTTTTCAAGAAGAAAGGCAGGGTAAAAAATATTTAAAATAAATAAAGAACAACTCTAGTATAGGACTTCCAAGGAAAACCAAATCAGAAGCCTAGGCCCACCCCTGAAAGGCCTTTTCAGGGCTGGAATGAACGGAGAACAGCTATCCACCCCACTCCTAGCACGTCCACGTAGGGGGGGAGAGAGATTAATTCCTAGAGAGTCATCCCAAGAAGACGCTCAAAGGGGCTGTGGGGGAGCGAGCGAGTGCGGAATTCCTAGAACGTCCCTCTCTCAGACCGGAAGTGTGCTGCTTCTTTCTCCCTCCGCCGGCGGCGGTGCTTCAGAAGCCAGGCAGAGGGTGAGCCTGCAGGGGGTTCTGGTTGGGGGGCTCGGAGGTTGTGTGTGTGTGTGGGGGGGGGGCTGGCTGGGGGAAGTGGGG